CTGGCTCCCAGGTGTCTTTTATACAGGTAACGAGCTGAGATTAGGATCACACTCTTAAAGGGAGGGCTCCTAATCTGAGATTGTTACCTGTATAAAAGACACCTGTTCACAGAAGCAATCAATCAATCAGATTCCAAACTCTCCACTATGGCCAAGACCAAAGAGCTCTCCAAGGATGTCAGGGACAAGATGGTAGACCTACACAAGGCTGGAATGGGCTACAAGACCATCGCCAAGCAGCTTGGTGAGTAGGTGACAACAGTTGGTGCGATTATTCGCAAATGGAAGAAACACTAAAGAACTGTCAATCTCCCTCGGCCTGGGGCTCCATGCAAGATCTCACCTCGTGGAGTTGCAATGATCATGAGAACGGTGAGGAATCAGCCCAGAACTACACGGGAGGATCTTGTCAATGATCTCAAGGCAGCTGGGACCATAGTCACCAAGAAAACAGTTAATAACACACTATGCCATGAAGGACTGAAATCCTGCAGTGCCCGCAAGGTCCTCCTGCTCAAGAAAGCACATATACATGCCCGTCTGAAGTTTGCCAATGAACATCTGAATGATTCAGAGGACAACTGGGTGAAAGTGTTGTGGTCAGATGAGACCAAAATGGAGCTCTTTGGCATCAACTCCACTCGCCGTGTTTGGAGGAGGAGGAATGCTGCCTATGACCCCAAGAACACCATCCCCACCGTCAAACATGGAGGTGGAAACATTATGCTTTGGGGGTGTTTTTCTGCTAAGGGGACAGGACAACTTCACCGCATCAAAGGGATTATTGACGGGGCAATGTACCGTCAAATCTTGGGTGAGAACCTCCTTCCCTAAGCCCCAGGGCATTGAAAATGGGTCGTGGATGGGTATTCCAGCATGACAATGACCCAAAACACACGGCCAAGGCAACGAAGGAGTGGCTCAAGAAGAAGCACATTAAGGTCCTGGAGTGGCCTAGCCAGTCTCCAGACCTTAATCCCATAGAAAATCTGTGGAGGGAGCTGAAGGTTCGAGTTGCCAAACGTCAGCATCGAAACCTTAATGACTTGGAGAAGATCTGCAAAGAGGAGTGGGACAAAATCCCTCCTGAGATGTGTGCAAACCTGGTGGCCAACTACAAGAAACGTCTTACCTCTGTAATTGCCAACAAGGTTTTGCTACCAAGTACTAAGTCATCTTTTGCAGAGGGGTCAAATATTGATTTCCCTCATTAAAATGCAAATAAATGTATAACCATTTTTGACATGCGTTTTTCTGGATTTTTGTGTTGTTATTCTGTCTCTCGCTGTTCAAATAAACCTACCGTAAAAAATATAGACTGATCATTTCTTTGTCAGTAGGCAAACGTACAAAATCAGCAGGGGATCAAATACTTTTTTCCCTCACTGTAAGTTTAATATTGATTTGGAGCTTTCGTCACTGAAGGAATTACTCTTTGGTTCTTTCGGTAAAGTCACGTAGAAAGAGAGAACCAAAGAATCAGTGTAATAGTCATTTGGTTTCAATGATGATTCATTTTGCAGGATACACAGAAAGTGTGGTTCGCAGAAAGAGTTATGTGTACGCTTAAAAAAAAAATTCCTCACCACCATGGCCAGACTGAACATCACACGTACGTACATACGGGACGCACGCGCGCGGTGGGTAATTAGGGCCTCGGAGTCCGCCTGCAGAGCAATGTGGCCATATGTTCAGGGAGCACTGGGCGCGAGAGATGGGAATGCACCGAGTGTTCCAGCCACTGCAATGGCAATCGGGACGGTGTCGTTCCACTCGGCCAAGCGCGCGTGAAGACTCCACGATTAAACTTGCATGAGCCCCCCGCCCCCCAACCCCATTTCTCTTCCTCCTAATCCCCCCCCCCAACCAGCCCCTCTCCCCCATCGCCACTGTTTTATTTGAAATGTATATGGTGCTGAAATAATTTAGCAATTTCCATGTGAGTTTAAATGAGCATTATTTATGGAATGCTACATTTACGTATTGATTATATATCTTTATTTCGAATGGAATCATTGAGCTGCCTGCTGTTTTTTTTTATATACTCGCGAATTTTTTGTGTCAATGAAGGACAGGAAACAACATTAGAAATCACTGGCGGCAAAAAAAAATTGTTTAAATTCATACATTGGCTTCATTTGTTTTTTAAATGGGTTGCGTCCATGCGATCGCGTAACGTGGTTGGTTGTGCCACTAAATTGTAGCAATTACTCAAATAACTGAAAGCTCACCCGAGCTTATGACCAAGAGATACAAATACATTGCCCGCTCTTGCCAAGAGAATAGTGTCGCACGGTGTCTAGAGCCCGCAAATCTGGACAGGGATGAGCGTGCCCTCTGAAGGACAGCACGCTGTTGTAAACGCACACTCGGGTGCTCAGCAGTGGGGCAGGGCTGTGATTGCAGTTACAGGCAAGTGACCCATGACCTCGGAGACCAGCTGGCATCCTCAGTGCCTAACCCAGCCACCCCAATTTGGAGAATGTTTTACTTTCTCTGCACAATGCGTCACTAATGGACAAGAGCAACTGGATAATGCCTTGGACTTCTTCGAGTAATTACATGTACCTAATCGACGTGTGCATGCATTTACCGGGAAATTACGTAATTCCGTGTCCTCAATATGAAGTGGTAGCACCAACTGGTGTTCGTCGATGTGAGTACAATCTGGACAAGTCCCCCTCCCCCCTTTAGCCAGCGTGTGGCATGCTTGTTTGCCTCTGGTAGCCCAGTCATAATCTCATTGAGTTCATCAATCAAAGCCTCTATCTGGAGTTCTTTGGTAATTATTTATTTTTGATCTGCCGTTATCTTGACACATGTTGGATGTCTGGCTTTATAAACAAGTACTACTTTTTCATTTCATTAAAACTTATTTTTTTGTGTTTAGTTTGTTGTCCCTTCCCCCGCACCTCCGATTAGCAAGGTTTGCTACCTACTGTGTGACAAGTTCAACATACATACAACTACAATGTTTAGGGGTTCACTAAATATTCCATTGACTGTAACCCGTTACTAGTCATATAGGCCTAGGCATTGTATACTTTAGGCATTTTAGGCCTAATACCATTTTTACATTTTAACAGTTTGCCGCTTATTATGATTGTTGTCAATTCACACCTTAAATATGTGATTCAGGGCCCAAGAGGGCATACCTGTGATTGCCATGTCGTGCAGAGTAGCAAGAAAAAGAGTAAAATAGTAGAAGCAACTTTGTAAATTGTAACCTTAACATTATATTAAAAAGTGCCTGAAAGTGGGGGGGAAATGTAAAAAAACCTCGAACAATTTATCTGATGAAGAGGAGAAATTGAAGATGCCCAATGAAGATTTAACTCGCACAACTCTGTCCAAAAAAGATTAGAAACAACACAAATACCTTGCCTTACTCAGAATCATGAACACTTCGTCGACTTGAAATGGAACAGATTGATATTTAAAGGTTAAAACAGGAGCAAACTCGCTATCAAAAAAATTACTGCCGTTGACATTGAGTAAAATTACCTTGCGGTGTCTGTATTCTTCGTGGCCTCAATCGTCGAAGTGACAGGTGCTAAACACGTGTTAATTGGTGAATTGTACATTCTCTCCAAATGTATATTAGAATACATTTCAGAGGATAGAAAAAAACCCAGCATATAACATTTTAAAAGGGCAACTATTCTGCCAAAGACCCGTGTCCCATCAACTCGTAAATGTCGTGTAGTTGTAAATGATTGAATAGACATTTCCAGGCAGAAATCCAACCAATGCGTAATTAATTGTGTGAAAATGCGTCCGTTGGCACAGCAGATGCTGGCACTTCCCTTTCAGGGCTTCTGATTAACCTGGTGGATAAAGGGATGGGTATGGATTATATTAGGGTTTGAAATAAATGACTTTGCTTTTAATTAATGAGCCTTTGGCCCCTGAAATCTCGCCATGGCCAGTCTACCGTATAAATGTGTCTGATTCAAGGTCATTATGCTTTTGATGTGTTTCAATGTGTTCATCCATTTAATGTTATACTCCTTTTTGGTAAATTTTATGGCATCAGATAATTAAATATAAAGTACCTGCAAGTTTGAAGAAACGAGGAAAAGCCTACTTTTATTTTTAGACGCCCCACATTAAGTTTCCAAATTCATGTAAAGTAAGATGCAGCTCAAAAATACAAATAACGTTGACCGTCTTGGCACAAAGCTGGTGATCCATATTGTTTAAAATGAATTTTAATCTCTATTATTGCAAACAAACAAATCATTTAGTCAGGGGCGCACTTGTGATTTCACTGCTGTGCCACTCCTTTACCTTCTAACACGTCACAAGCGGTGATGTTGTTAGGGCACTTCAGGTGTAATCTTGTGTTTTCTTTGTTTGCCGTATTTGATACACATCGTGATGCGTGTTTGCTAAACATCCGCATTAAGCATCTGGGAGGCGTGTCCATATACTATTCATGATGACGCAGTCTTGCCGATCACTGGAGGTGCGCTTCATAAGATTCACTTCATAATATTGATGATATTGTGTGGATTATTGAAGCTTATGGCAAATTTCTCACAATCGACGTTTTAAATTTGTAGATCTCGTATGTAATCGACTCAAGTGATCACTGCAGCTGTTCGTGGTGCTACATTATCCACAATGTGAACAACATAAATAATCAATTCTTGAAACGCATCGTTGACCCTTAATCGTAACGTTTCATCGAAGTGCCTTGCGGTGGGAATGGTGGGCGGATAATTACACGCATATTGTTTACTGTATCGGAAATTTAAGTGATATTTATTAGCAGTAACTTCCCCCTGTGTGCAATAATTTTCCCGATGTACAATGCAGTACAGTACTTTTAAAGTTATGCAACAACATGCGGTTTTATGAGGAGGCCTACTGAGAGCACAAAGTCCAGTGGGATAAAAAAACACCTTTGTATGATCATGCTGCTACATCAGTCCCTCGTTCTTTCCTCTCCCGTCTGCTCCTGCTCGAGTGTGATTAAGTGTGTCGTCTCATCCCAGAGGCTGCAGTGATCGGCCGTCATGGAGCAGAGCAAGGTCACCTCGCTGCTGGACGATAAGGTGGGCTTGGCGGACATGGTGCTGCTGGACCCCCTCAATGAAGAGTCCTTCCTCGAAAACCTCAAGGAACGCTTCAAGCACAACGAGTTCTACGTACGTGCGATCCCCACCACTTCACTGCGTCCCACCCCCTTCCTAGCACACTTCGGCGTTAAACATAAATGTGGTGGCTCGGGGGGGTTAGAAAGAACAGGGAGAGAATATGCTAAGCCATTCCGGCTTATCAAACATATACTTTTTTTAAAAATGTGTTTTTTTGCGTGCGAATAACAGCCCATTACAAAGCACGAGCGATAGGGTAAAAGGGGGTACAGGTATTCCACGGATGACAAGCCCGAGGGGAAAAGGGGAGGGAAGAGCGATTGGGCTCACTGCTCCCCTACTCACGGAGAGAATATACTCGAACAGAAATCAAACGTAATCCTTTTAAAGTAGTGAGATCAAATGGTCTTAGCTAAATTACTATTCCTCCCCCCCCAGCTTAATGAATGAGCCTTTGGCCCCTCAAATCTCATCATGTCCTGTCTACCATATAAATGTATCTGATTCAAGGTGATTATGCTGTTGATGTGTTTTAATGTGTTTATGCCACAAGACACACACTTGCTTGCATGTATACACATGTCTAAAGCACACCTTTCACACTTTCTGTTGTGTCGGCGGCAACGGTGGTTCTGCATCGCCATGCACTTGCCTCACACATTTTAGTTGTGGTTGTTTTTGGGATGGAGTGGTTGGGGCAATGATGCACGGCACTTCGCTGTGCGCCTGCAAGTTCCCGGTCACGGCTAGCATCGGTGGCAAGATTTATTTTGAACAAGTCCTAAGTCTTTAATTCTAGATTTGAAGCTTTCGTGACTGCAAGGATTCATATTCTTAGGTTTTTTCGGTAAAGTCACGTAGGCAAAAAATTAAAATTAATAAAAGTAAAATAAAAATAAAAAATCACGACGTTTCGGAGGCAACACAAGCTTCCCATAAGGTTAAGTAGCGGTATACATGTTATTTACGATGCAACAGTATTGCTAATTCTAGATTTGAAGCTTTCGTGACTGCAAGGATTCATATTCTTAGGTTTTTTCGATAACTTAAGAATAGTATTGCTAATCGCTGCATTCATTTTCCTCCGTCCCATGTGTCTAGCCCCGTCTGTTAACCATGGGTGAAAAACCATAATTCACCTCTTCAGATAATTGCACATGTTATTGGTCTCGGCTACTTACGGAGCACGTTGTACAGACCTCGCTCAAATCCTTGAAAGCCCAGACTGATGATTGCATAGTTTTATGCTCTTTGACATTTCATGGTATGAATTAGAAGTCATAAACATGAATACGTAGTTTGAATATCGATTTATTTGACACACCTCCCACAGAGTGCAAAGGTGCTTAGATACGTGTGACAAGACATAGAGACCTCACAAGAATGTACACCCTTTGTATGGTTATCCGTTAAAGATAACAAGAATCATGAGAACATTTTAATACATTATTGTTTCTTTTTTTAAGAGGTGGTATGAATGTAAATCAAAGGTGAAAGTGAGATAACGTGTAGTCCATAACAGGATCGGCCACTGCATAGAAGCCCCGTGGTTGTATGTGTGCGTGCGTGCATGTGTGCTGTCAGTGGAGTGGTAATAGGACACAGATTGACCACTAGACTTCTACAGTTTTAAAAGCGCTCGAGTCTGGAAAGCTCTGTAAACGCAAACCAGATGTTGCTTGGAAATGGGAATGTTCTGCCCGAAGGCATGTATTTTGTGACAAAAATACAATGACAAAATAATCTTATAATAGTGTGTGTGTTTTACATGTAAGGGGCATGCATATATATTTTTGTAAGTTAAATATTTTTTGTTGTTGCCAAAAGTGAATTGAAAAGTTGTTGCTGATCCGCAATCAAGTTTGTATTTATCTCAAGTCGATATCAAAATGAGCTGCACATCTCTCTCGCTTCTCATCATTATGTTGTGTCATTGAAGGAATGATGAGGCAACAGAAATAGGAATATGTTTGCAGTTGTTGGAGCACTAACTTTATTATTATTTTAAAAAAAAATTAATTGAAGGTGGGCGGGTTACCAGCCCCTCGTACCCATCCAGAGCCCCCTTTTGGCCGCTGTGGTGGTCACAAACGCCATGACGGGAAAGGCCAATCGGAATTGGCCTTACCCCCACAGCACTGCCCACGACAGCGTTGCCCGTCCAGCACCACGAGGAGGTAGGGGATTATGAGACATCTCCTTTACCAGTGGCAAAATATAGCAATAGGTGTTTACCCTTTCAACTGGTACAAAAACTGACACCTTTATACAAGGCATCATGTTTTCAATAACCACAACACAAGCAGTCAAAATGCAAACAAAAAGAAACAACTCTGATAATCATCATTATCAGAGTTGTATTAAGGTGGCAGTTTTTGTACCAGTTGAAAGGGTAAAACCCTATTACTATAAGTAGCGGGTTGTTTTGCCAGACAACACAGAGACGTACAGAGAGAGATACACAACATAGACACACCGAGACCCAATACCTCTGTGTCATGGCCTTAAATAGAGAGGGGGGGGGGACAGAGAGAGAGAGGTGGGTCTGCTGGAGCAGAGAAATTAGCATGTCAATGAGAGAGCTGTGTGGAAATCCACACAGCTCTCTCATGGGAATGTGTTTTGTCTCTCTCTCAAATTTAGTTCTAACTGATGACGACTGCTTGTGTTGTAATCGAAACGTCGTACTCTATTATTTAACTTGTTTTCTTTCTACGTGACTTTACCGAAAGAACAAAAGAGTAATTCCTGCAGTCACGAAAGCTTCAAATCAAGTTTAATATAATATTCCATAGTTTAGAAAATACAGTGATCAGAAATGGTTTTTTAACAAAGCATTGCACGCCTTCTTTGAACACTTAGTGGCTATGCTTATAAAAGGTACAGGACATTTGAATTACCATGCATTTCTCCCTCTACTGACAGACGTACATTGGCAACGTGGTCCTGTCGGTGAACCCTTACAAGCCGCTGACTATCTACTCCGCGGAGAAAGTGGAGGAGTATCGCAACCGGAACATCTACGAGCTCAGCCCCCATGTGTGAGTATCCACGACTGTGCCTCTCATAGTCTCACAGGCACTGGGGGCTATTGTCTACAAGTGTCTTGTTTCACTATTATTTTCATCATCTGTCTGCTGTATTAAGCCATATGCCGTGATTATTGTTATTTAGAGTTTACAAATGCTTATATTAAGAAGGTCAAATGAGACGTAGGTGGTTGCATTTTTTAGGTTGAAAAACGCACGTCTCTTGAATTAATTACTCCTTATAAAAGTAACATTTTCAATTCTACACTCTTCTATTGGGAGCACAATAACATGTCTGGCAAGGGAATTATTTGCAGATAATGATAAACACCATCAATGAATTTATATCATCCAATCATTGTAAGATAAACATTTTGGTGAATGAATGTGGGGGGATTTCCGAATAAAAAGGCATGTAGTCTCTTCAAAGACTTTCTTTGCATTGAGCTAGACAAAACATAGTCACACCAGACTAATTAAAAGATGAAGGGCAAAGCATTTGTGTGGTGCTGCTGTTTGCTGCTATAAATGTCCAAATAATAAGCCATTTTGTTGAGCTATCATTTGTGGCCAGTTCGCTTTTGACAAATATGTTGGCTTTGTTTGGTAGGATGGGGATGGTTTAGTTTCATTTGTATGTGTTTGGGTTATTTGTTTACCTTTCTTGTACTTTGCACTGTTATCATGTGTTTGTACTGTTTGATGTTGTAACGTTCTTACCCGCCCCGACTGGACATCTGTGAAGAAGAGCTTTATAGCTCATCAGATTCCTCCAGTATAAAGTCATATTCAGATTCTGATACGTGTAGTCTTGTATAAATGTTACACGTGTGGTTTGTAATTATTTCTCGTGTAGCAACAGAACAATATAACGCGTAGTCTTGAAACTCGGTTCCGTAATGTATGCGCAGGTGGTTGCGGGGAGTTGTGATATTCCGAAAGTGTTGAGGGTAAATATTCACACGTGCTGTATACCAGACTTGCTGTAGATGCTATTATTTTAGTAAATTCTGCATATGCTCTTTGGAAAAAGGTTGATAAAAAAAATATTTTTTTGATAATCAAAGCTAGTTGGTTAAAACATTGCATCATTGGCCACAATGTATATTTATTATTTTGAAACGAACAATGCAATGGAACATGGGATATTCCTATATGAAAAGTGGTACCATTGCACTGCAGCACTAAGACCAACACAAAGCTTGCACCATTGCTACTCATCACGAGGTATTTATTCACATGTATTCAATCTGGTTACTTGTACATCCTAAGCGTTAAACAAGGTTGTGTTTTCACGTTTTTATTGACATACGTTTAAGGTCAGGCTTCGACAGGAGACTACATAGTTGAAAGAACGAAGAAAAAAAAATCAAATTCCTTCGCTAATTACAACCATGTGTAGGGTCCCACAGGGGTTGGCCGTTTGCTTGCAAGGTAATGTGTTTATCGTAGAAAAGTTCACGGAGCTTTTTAAAATTCTTGACACCACCTCCTTGGTTATATTTTTTTTAAGTTGACTCCATAGCAAAATTGGCATGCTTCCCCCACGGATCAGAATCCATGATTTTAGCACTTTATCTATCACCTCTTTCGTCTTCTTTGTCGCTGAAGAAATCACACGTGTCTGAAAACCAACGCTTCCACTTCAAAGGCATGCCATTCAATTTCCAAACTACAGTGGCGTGCACAGCCGGGACAACAAACACACGAACAGCATAGTCCTGTTTGCATTTTCATTGGGTGGCAGCACTACTGAAAAACGTAAATTCTGAATGCCTCTCTTGTATGGTAGACACAGAGGAACTGACAAGGACATAAAAGACACAATGCCCAACAAACATCACCTTCAAATAATCTCAACATAATATCGAGTTTCTCCAGAAAAACCTTAACGTTCTGTTCCCCTTGCTGTGTTGTTGATAGAGGCCTTTGAGCATTGTTATTGTGTGCACTTTTTACCTCCTGGTCTCTGCATTCTAAGTAGCTCACACGCACACACTTCTAATGTAGCTCAAGTTCAGTTCACATGGGATATCCTCTACAGTTCTCTATCAAGAAATCTCTCTTTACTCCTGGACCAAAGCCACAAGCCTTGCTCTGTGGAAGACTCAAAATCCCATAAAGAGTCACGTTTCAGACCAATCGACATGGCCTGGTAATGACCTCCTAAGCTGGCAAACTGACAATGTGGGGATTCTTGGTGGTTTATTTCTGCGTTGGTTTACATATTAAGTGTTTTATTAGATGAAGTGTGTTCACATGTAAAGGGACTTCTTCATCTGCTGTTGCTCCTGAGAGCTGAAGAGGTTAAATATTTTTATTTTATTTTACCAGGTAAGGCCCACTGAGCTATAAAGCTCTTTTACAGAAGAGACTTGGCCAGAAATTATAGCATTGTGAAGTGGCTTATCATGTGGAAATTTATAGCAGCCAATACTCTCAATGCCATAATGTTATATAGTCATTTTAGAAACTGTTAATGTACGTGTAAAGCGTATATTTACTTGTTCTGTCTGAAAGTGAATGGATGTTTCTTTTCCTCACTGATTGTGTGAGGATTTTGGAATTGTATAACACCAAGACAATCAATTAAATGCACAAAGCGCACGTACCCATGGGCTCTGGCAACACATTCACCACTCCACGAGCCTGCATACGCTTCATGCTGAGCTAAGCGAAGGTTTCACCCAGTGCCTTTCTTGAGGTAGCTAGATTTAGTTCCAGCATGACTGAATGAGTGACTTTACAGAAGGCCGCAATTGGTCTTTTTCACGGGGAAATCACTGAACAGCAACATGGACATCAAATGTGAAATTGTGCAGTGCTCATAATCGATGGTGATCCAGAGCCAGTGATAGAATTCCACAGTCCTCTGACGGGAATCAGTCTTTCCATGAGACAATAATTTCTGACTCTCCACAAAGTGTTTCTAGATTTGAAGCTTTCGTGACTGCAAGGATTCATATTCTTTGGGGGTTTATTTCGCTAAAGTCACGTAGGTAAAAAATGCAATAAAATAAATGAAAACTAAATTAAATCACGACGTTTCGGGCGCAACACAAGCGTCCTTCTTCAGTTGGGGACAACGTAGCGAAAGCACAACCGCTTAAGTGTGTCTAAGAGATGGCTGTGACGAGGAATTATATAGTCGTAAACGCATGGAGCTCAAACTGAAGCCTTGTGACGCAGGGGGCGGAAGTAGATAAGAAAGCTAAGATTAAGCATCCTTTTGTTATGCTGCCGGTGGGGGGGGGGGGGGGGGGTAAATTAGAATGCGCAAGATGAAAAAAACAACGTGTGGTAATGGTGATGGTAGTGTGTGAAGCTGGGGATAACAGACTGGGAATATGGATACGATTATGAAAATAAATCTAAACTGGCTGTCTAGCAGTAAACTGCACGGCAGCTAAAGTTTAACTTGCTTAATTACATCCTTCCAATGATTGCTCAATTGAATCCATCATCTCGGTTGAAGTTATGTCTATGTTTGTATATCTGGATGGCTTCATGGACAAATCTTTGGTAGTATCCAGGAGGCTTGCAGAGTACCTTGGTATCGGAGAACACAATGTCATGAGAACCAGCAGTATTATAACAGTGGTCAGCTACGGCTGAAGAATTCGTCCTGCCATGCTTCAAATCCGACTTGTGCTCGCGAATGTGGTCAGAAATATGTTGTTTCGTTTCCAATCACCACAGGTGCAACTCAGTTTGTAGACACCAGGGTACTGTAAGTCAGGAATGACATCCTTTACGGATGGGATCCGATCACGGATCTTGTGTACTGTACTGAATCGGACCTGGATCTTGTGTTTGTTTAGAATTTTGGAAATCTTTTTGGTAACGCCTGCTATGTATGGCAACGTACATAGCAGAGAGTATCTCTACACAAAGGGCTTATCATTCTATTCAGCCCAGAATTATGATGGGCTGGCTCGACCCGTGACCTGGATTTGAACTCTTATCCTTCCAAGTGACAGCCATGCACTTTAACCGCAGTGCCACTTGGCTCGATGGGCTTGTCCATTAGTTGAGTAAATACCTGTGCTCCCTCCTTTGGCTACTACATGACCGTCTCGATCATTGGCCGCCATCTCTACTAGGGATATGTACTATCCAAGCCCACTGACATTTCTTAGCAGTCAATATGATGCATTTGATTTACGTTTGTAGTAATTTATTTTCATTGTTATTGTATAAATTGGATCACGGAAACGAAAAGACTGAATGTAAATGAATAAGTTGTTCACCATCTCAGGTAGTCATTAAAATAACCAATGGCAATAGAATGACATATTATGGCACAAAGGAGGCTGATTGGTTAGAGCTGTAAAGTGACAGTATGGAATATTCTCAGTATTTGTGTTACTTAGCAGAGCCTCATATATGTATTTTGAACTTATTTCGCACCATACGTAGTCAACCGTGCTAATCGGAGGTGCAGGGGAAGGACAACAAACTAAACACAAAGAGTAGTTCTAAAGAAATGAGTTTCCAATCCAGGTTTAAAAGTGCATAGCTCCAGTGGCTTCCTAATATCGGAAGCAAGAGCGTTCCAGATGGCCACAGAAGTACATCTGAAAGAGCGCGATGCGGTGACCATCTTTGTTCGATGGCCGGCCAAAAGCTGCTGCTGCTGCTGCGAGGATGACCGGAGTTCGCGTGATGGTTTTATGCTCCTTGACGAGATCAGAAACGTATTGTGGTTCATTTATGGCGAGCACTTTGGTGAGGATGGGTGGTTGTAGATGAGAGCAGAGGCACTTTGTCCCTGCCCCACGCCCCCCCTATCTGTGCCCATGCACCCGTGATGCTATAGTTGCGTTTGTGTGCGAGGTGTGGGAGAGTGAGTGAGGAGGGGGATCGTAATCTTCGAGTTGAACGCCTTTCGAGAACTGCGGCACAGATCATTCACGAGCAATCGTTTTTTTCACAGAACGGTAAATGGCACGTTTCACCAATAATTGCGTTACGTGTAATACGTTAATGTTTACGCAAACTATTACTACCATGATTGTTGCGAATAAAACCATGATTATCAAAAGTGTATAGTTACAGTATCAGAGATGGCAGCAATTATGCTGTTCCGTTATTTAGTTTGTACACATTACGTATGTGGTACCGTATTCAACTCGGCACATCAATCTGTTAGTGTTGGTAAAGAAAGTACCACGTTGTGAAAAGGCAGCAATGTTTTTTTTTTAATAACCTGGTTCCAGCCATGGGAATGTGGAATGTACACCTCAAGCTGAGCACCATTAATGGACATGAGCACCGCTTGTTTGACAAAGGACGGTCTTTACATTTGTTTTTAATTGCCTTATTATTGTATTGGTGTATTTTAACTTTTACACAGTAGTTATTTTACGTAACATTCAAAGGCGCAATTATATAAACGCCGCGAAGACACAGTTACACTGAGCTGAGCGTGCACCTCTGCGTAATGGTTGGCAAACAGCATCATCATCATCATCAAAATCAGGTGTGGCGCGTGCCCATTGGGGACACGAGCAGCACAGTGCGTCGACGTGCAGCAATAAAACAACCCAGGACTTCGGCCCCCTACTCCACGCCCCTTCCTGTGGCGCCACTGGCAGCACCACGCACGGCACCGTGCGTCTTTATGGCCGTTGCGTTCTAACACAGGGCCTGGACTCTTGACCTTGGACTTGTCCGGCAAATTCCCCGTGCTATCTCCGCTCGTGTGCAGGGCAAACAAGGGCATAGGCAAGAGCGATGCCTTTGAAATGTCGAGGTGTTCGTTCGGGGCGGGGCGTTGCCAGTAGAACACTTCTCATGGTACCGCGTGTAGGTAGATGACAACTGATTGGGTTGTAATAATTTCCGAGCAGGCCTTAATGCCCTCTCTGGGTTTAAGTGAGACCTGCACAATAATTGGTAGCTTTAGTGCCCATGCATGTCGAGGTGAATTAGTGCCGCTCGTTAAAGAATGGCCCAGGCTCTCAGGAGACCGTAAATATCGTACTTCAAAGATGGCGGTTTTATACGGTTAGAAAGTTTTCTTCCTTCTTCCCATCTGGTAGCGTTAACACGTGCATGCAAAATATCCCACTGCTACAATTGACCCATGTTTTATTTATGAAAGCCTCAAATTTGTGTTATCATACGTGTTGATTTAAGTGAGATAAAAAAAAATCAACATTCATCATGCACTTTCGCTGTTGTCATTGCAAACTTGGATGAACCAAATACGGACGATGAGAAGGTATTGGGACTAAGCTATTTGGGACCACTGCAACAAATCCTTATTCAAGCCAAGTTTTTTTTTTTATTACAAGTAAATTAATAAGTAAATACATGCAACATTTAAGTTAGCTGTCAAGTGCTGCAGTTGCATGAAACACAACATTTGCTAGTTAAAAATGTATTAAAGAAAGTGGTGGAAGAGAACAGGTTGGAGTGCTTTTGGATTTTTTTTTACTTAATTATGAAAAGTAATGCACCAATGTGCCTCCAGAAGACAGTTTTAAATCAGCACTAACTGCTTTGACTTGTGGTTCAGTAACATGGTCATTCGTGAAAATACTGAAAAGTGTATAAGGAAGCTTGAACAGACGCGTACTTGGAATTACATTGAGAGACAGACAAGAACACATGGATTAGAGAACATACGTCAGGCGCGAGAAGGGATACGGCAGATGATTGAATATGCATCGAAGAAGATGTTAACTGGGGAGATGGAGCAATGAAATCAGTTTGTGCAGATACCAGGTGGATTGTTATTTCACAGAATAGTAAGAGGCAGCGGCAGCTTTGAGAGACCTTCGTTCCTGCTGTGGATTGACCATGGTTGATGGTAACTGATGATACACATTCTGCTGTTGTACCGTTATGTCACTGCACATATAAGTCATGTCCGGATCATTACAACCAGTATTTACAAACTCTTTGGTTCTTTCGGTAAAGTCACGTAGGTATAAAATGAAATTAATTAAATCACGACGTTTCGATTGCAACACAAGCGATCGTCATCAGGTGGGAAAACCACAGCAAGAATTTGTTTTGCTGAAGTGGGAGAGAGAGTTGCCGTGGTAAGAGGTATAATATGTAAGAAAGGGGGGAGAGGGAGGGGTGGGGGTGTGGGGTAGGGATAGGGCGAGCGCTGCATGGTGTAGTAGTACCCGGCAGATATGATAGACGACAACCAATACAAAGCAGTTAGGGTTTTAGCAGGTTGATAATCAAATCTAGATTAGTATTTACAAAGTAAGCTGCATTCATACTTACTTTTAGGATTGTGCTGGTGTGAGTATTTTTCTCTTGTGGAAAGAAGCAGCAGTGTCCAAATAAAATCCTCCACAAACAAGAAGCTCGCACTGAATCGACACACATCGATCAGACACTTACTTGCTGTACTGATGCCTCTTTGTCTTACAGGTGAATATCTCTCGTGTTTTAATCTGTTGTGTGATTCACCAATCCCAACCTCTCAAGTCATTGCGTGGTAAGTGTGCATTACCACCATACCTAGAATGAGATGCTCAATTTGCTATGTTGTCTTCTTGTGTTGCCGTGACAGGTTTGCGATTGCTGACGAGGCGTACCGTTCACTTCGTGACGCTGACAAGGACCAATGTATTCTCATCACCGGAGAAAGCGGAGCAGGCAAGACCGGTGAGTCTGTGCATCTGGACCCACGTTGTTGTGCCATTCCAGAGACCTCTTCTGTGTGTCAGGCATTGGAAGGACCATCCATGAATTAGCTGTATGCTGAGTTTTTGAAGCCATTGGAAAACGTCTGGAGTCGCGAGATAGATTCCATTTCTGCCTCCTTCGAAAGCTCGTATTGGGCAATGATTGGCAATCCGATTGGATAGATTGTTCATAATCAACGTTTTTGGGTTTAGATCGCGTTATTTATAAATGTGTCGTAACCCTCCACCACCCGACACGGCCAATCAGTAAAAAATGTGTCACGTTGACAAAGACAAATAGTTCACTGCTTTAGCCCACCGGTGTGTTGAAGCCACAACATTTACAATTTGAGTACGACGTTTCGCTGGTAATTGCAACCAGCATCATCGGGCAATTCTCCAGAATTGCCCGATGATGCTGGTTCTCCAGAATTGCCCGATGATGCTGGTTGCAATTACCAGCGAAACGTCGTACTCAAATTGTAAATGTTGTGGCTTCAACACACCAGTGGGCTAAAGCAGTGAACTATTTGTCTTTGTCAACGTGACACATTTTTTACTGATTGGCCGTGTCGGGTGGTGGAGGGTTACGACACATTTATAAATAACGCGATCTAAACCCAAAAACGTTGATTATGAATAACATTGGTCGCGAAAGCCTACGTGTTAAACTGGATAGATTGTTCTTCGCCGGAGTTACAATCGGGGAATTGCTTCATCTCACGCCCATGGAGGAGGCACTGAGCACCTTCCATGTGATCGTATGACAAGGAGCAGCTCGGCTGTCCCTTTGTTGGATCTTCAATACATTTCTTGTTGGGGGCATCGCAGGCTGACCACATAGCTCACCACTTAAAAATGTTTTGGAAAATAACACGGATTCCTCCCATGTGTTTATAGTATGTTTACAACACCAGCTTTTAAGGGTATATTTTTCAATTAATTGAACATGACGATGGCCCAGAGATTCCACACGTAGTAAATGTGTTGAGGCTTACTCTTTGGTTCTTTCGATAAAATCACGCTGGTATAAAATAAAACAAATTAAATCACGACGTTTTGGGCGCAACACAAGTGCCCGTCATCAGTTGTAAACAACCACAGCAATAAACAATTGCTGAAGTGGGCAAAAAAAAAAAAAACTTCAAATCTCGAATGTATTGAGGCTATTGGCACTGCAAAACTTTTGAACGAGCTTTAAGTCCCTACCGCCCATGCTGGCCTGTGGTCGTTTATAGCCCGTGGCAGTAATGTCACTTCAAGGTGGGCAATAACATCAGGGTTCTATTTTCTGTATTGAATGCGAAAGGTGAAGGTGGTACTGTTCTGTTTCAAACCTAATAAATGCGAGTCTCAACCAGATTATATAGGCGCATAAAGCACCGACTGCTGTAAAACTATATGTAACTGTTGGCTGCATATGATGATTGTAAGTTCTTTGCCAAGGGGCTTCCATAACCAAAATGTCCCAGGGCTAGGTTGTGATTTGGTATTTCCTTCTGTGAAATAGAATCTATGAGTGGCCATTGTTCAAGGGCATGCATTCCTATAATCTCGCAAACATAGACTCCGTGATCACATGGGACTTTCAAAGTCACAAGTGTCTCAGTACTCAAGTGTTCATCCACATTAGCAGCTCTGAGGCAGTGGTAGAATGATCCACATTCTTATGGCGGGAGTCATTCTCTGAAAATATTCTAAATCCTGAGGGGATGAATGACAGGGAGTTAATTTTGCCACCCGATGATTGTAAGTGAAGCTGGCTGTGCCACGGGCGCTACCCAAATGCAATTCGGTCATGTCCAAATTATGTAACAAGCTGGGAAGGCAGTCCACTAAGGGGAACTCCATTTTGTGTGTTGGATTCAACGATATAAAGTCTTGGAAATGCAAAATCGCACGTGCTTAGAGACAGTTATTTACGTGAGGAATGCGCGGTCTATAATCACTCGCTTGCACGCATTTCAACACATTCGCTATTTGTGGTTGAGCACAGAATAACATTTGTTTTACTCGTAAAAAATGCTGTATTGAGAATATGTTGTCACCCACCTTGCCTAAAAGACCATTCACATCTGAGCAATGATGATGTATCTAAGCTGCGTAAAGTTGTTTTTCAATTGGTCGAGGGGATTTGTAATTCCCTTGACAACTTGTGAAATGTCCTCAGACGAACAGATAGATGGATGGACATAGATCCTGGGCATCGCAATATATAGCCTAATGGCTCCCTGAAAAAAGGCAATTTTTGTTACTTTTCTGTGTTCAGGTCTTTTTTTTACTTTCGTGGAACATTTTTTTAGTTCAAGAGGCTACCACGTTAATCACCTCGTGGAATGCAAATAATGATTCAACCACTTTGGGTGGTACCATTAGCCATGACTCTGCGCACATTGCACCCATGTATAGGAATGCCCCCCCCCCCACCGCTTCTCCCGTCTATGATTAGTTGACTAGTTTTCTGCTTGGATAAGTGTTCTGTCCGTGGAACAACGCACTTGCATGGGCCAGTTGCTCAACCCGCACGTGAATAGGTTCGAGAGGAAGCCTCTCGGTCATTCCCCCGCTACCGTTTGCTTTGTGAGAGAGAGCGAGGAGAGACCGAGCGCGCCCGAGTGCGTATGCCGCAATGCCGCACGTGCAGCGGGGCAGTGCTGCAGCCCGCTCATGCGTTGCGTTTGCTTAAATGGGCAGTCAAAGGGCTGTGGGAGCCATTCAGTAAGTGTTTGTTGTGTCACGCACACAGACACAGGGCTTCGCCCGTGCGTGTCCGCGCCACCCTCGGACGTACAGTCACCTTCAGAAGCCGTTCGGGCAGGGAGCGAGGTTACATTTGAGACACTGGGCGGTGTTGTTGCAGGATTCCGATGAAATAGTGTATGTCTGAGAGAGAAAATGAGGCTCATGCAGGATTTCAAAACTAAATGGGTAACAATGCAATCCTTTGCAAAGCTGCACAACTACATACATTTGCTGTGTAATTGGATTTCATATAAACTACGGTAAAGCGAAAACAAATGCAGTGTCGTATACACGTAGGACGGGCATTAAAAAAAAGGCACGGTGGATTCAACAAAAATTTGTGTCGGAAACGCCGAGTTGTTTAGTTACCTTTTACTGAGCACTCTGGTTCAGGTATTCGTATCGTATGTGGTGGATTTCCATTTTCAGAATTGCTTTTAAGGGGCCGTCCATAAATGACGTCACGCGATTTTGGACGAGTTTTGACACCTCCCCCCATCGTCACACGGCGTCACAAAAAGTTAGCCCCCCCCCTTAAATATGACGTCACAAAGCTCTGCACCCCCCCCCCCCCCCCCAATAAATAAATCATGTTTCAAATCGCTTTAAACTATTGTCATTGTAGTGCGTATTTAATGTGGCGCTGCACTCTAATGTTGTAGGAGAAAACATTTATTAATCTATTTAATTAAGTAGAACGTGTTGTCTATACAGTATTTATTTAAAGTTGCGCATTTTGATGTGACGTCACATTTCTCAAACCCCCTCCCCCCTCGTCACACATCGTCACAAATGTTTGACCCCCCCCCCCAGGTGCGTGACGTCATTTATGGACAGCCCCTAACCACATGTTGAAGCAGCTCATCATCCTATTGCCGTATACACATCCACATTTGTGGCTTGAAATGTCCAGTGGGGTTTAATGTTGCAAATTCAGTTGTAATATATCAGGATCGTCGTTGGGCAGTTTTTTTTCTTCTAAAAGCCAGGTAATAAGGTGTGTTTTTCTTTGTTTGAGATAGCTGAGGGATGGAAGATGTTATTGTGCAGGGAGGTGTGGAATCACGTGGTGATGTTTGACAACTCCCAAACTCCTCATTGGGCACACACTTAATAGTAGGTTTTTACCCTTTTAACTGGTACAAAACTGACACCTTTATTCAAGGCATCATGTTTGCAATGACCACAACACAAGTAGTCAAAAAAGCAAACAAAAAGAAGCAACTCTGATAAGGATAATAATATGCACTGTCCTTGAAGTTGATTGGCCCACACCCGAGACGGCTTTCTTTAGAGCCTAGTCCCCATTGGTGTTGGGCCAGATGACACTTGTGTTGTGGTCATTGCAAACATGATGCCTTGAATAAAGGTGTCAGTTTTGTACCAGTTAAAAGGGTAAAAACCTACTATTATATTTTGCCACTGGTAAAAGAGATCTCATAGGGCACACACTTGTGAGGCAGGACCCACAGTGAGCTGACAGTGAAGCTATGGATCTGGGATAATTTGTTGAAGCCTGAATTAAACAAACCAAATTTTTTTCTTTCCAATACTATCTCGATAGATTAAAAATGTTGGGACATTTACGCGTCTTTTAATCTACTTTTGTAACTCTACCTTTCTGTTTGGGAAAATGTTGATCTCATGAGATCACTTGATAGAGTTGAACACTCTACTTGACACAATTACTTTTTTTACTAAGAAATATTTGCCAAAGAGAGACAATTTTACATGTACCACAGAGGAAACTGATCTCTGCTTTGTTAAACGTTTGAGCATAGACGCCATCTCTTGACTTTTCGGACTGAACATTTAATGAGCGAAGCTTGGATCCAGTATGTCATTAAGTGCGAGTGGCTTGGTATACTGTATGTCAATAAAGATGTTGGTGCCATTCACACACAGCTAGAAGCTGTTTGGTTTACAACAGTGACAATGGTTTACATTGATCTGACCTCTTAGTAATATTATGGGAAAAAAAACACCCTGAAGTCCTGGACTCAGTAAATTGTCCTTGCGACTTTCGCCAGTTTGCGGTACCCAAAGAAGAACCCATTGAAGTGTACAGAAAGTAAATTTGAATGGAGGCTGTAGTTTTTTGGACAGAAGGGCAATTTGAGCAGTGTAGTGTGCATTGCTTTGAGATTTCCGTGCCTTATGCATTACCCGCTCCAACAAAATGTCTCTGCAGGGCGATGCTCACAGCGGTGATATTTTGACAGTGACATATTGACGGCA